ATGTATTCAAGGGAATACAGCAACACCGTATTGTACTGAGAGCCCTTAGATCTTGGAAGGGAAACCGCACCAAATGTACGCGACACACACACAACCACACAAACACACACACACACACTCTTAGTAGTGTCTACATACATCTCACACAACACTCGACGTACACACACCTACACGCACACACACACACAAGATAAAGTTCAAAAGGCCCTCAGCTTGCTAGCTGGTAGTTGAGGGGCAATCCGACCGAATCTGCCTTGTCTTCCTCCCCTGGGCACGGTACGGTAGTCATTGCGAGCAAGCGATCTTTGCTGATGTTGTTTCGGTGATCGAGTCCAGGAAACATCAGAGTCGAGTCCACAGCAGAGAGCTACTAGTATATAGTAGCTTGAGCAAGATATTTTGTTGGAAACGAACATCAGAAAATCCCAGGTTGACCTAGCAATCTTTTGTTGGCCATGGTCCACCAATACCCACCGAGGCAATCCACTGTGTTGCTTCCAATCCTTTGCCTGATGGTCCTGATTATCTCTCTGGAAGCATTTTCCCCTACTTCCCCATTGCTGAAAAGCAGACCGAGCCACACAATATTGGGGGTATCTTCTGTGGATCCCCCTAAAAGTAGTGGTACTACCAGCCAAGGCAGCACGGCAGCGCAATGGCACCGTGATCGACGACAGCAAATGTTGACTCGATATCCCGAAATTAGCGAATTGGAAAAGACGGCCAACAGCCAATCCGTCGGTGGGAGTTTTCTGTTTCTGGCCAATCTTTCCTTGACCCTATTGGCCATTCTTTGTGGTCGAATGGCCAATTGGAAATGGACGTTTTTATTGGCTCTCTTTCCAGGATCCATCTTTAGTCTGTGGCAATTGCAAATCTTGCACGACAATCTACACGGATCTTTGCTGGACAAATCCAAACGACATTATAATTTTGGTCCAATTAAAATCCCCAAGAGAAAACTGCAGCAGTGGATCCTCTTTTGGGGTAGCATGCCTTCCATCTTTGGATATTACCTGTATCTCCAATATGGGCATTTGACCCATCATCAAGCCGTGGGAAATCCTCAGGCTGCCAATTTGCAAACCATTTTTGAATCTTCGTCACCGTCGTTTGAAGACGGCGATGTCCTTTTTGTCGCACATCGCATGAAACTCAAGGGAGGAATTGGACCACGCTTCCAAATTGGCAAAAAAGAAATTGTCATGTCCATTTCCAACTTGGGCTTTCGACAATGGAAAACAGGTCGCGCCTTGTTTAATATGGGAGTCTTTGCCACATCCTTTCTTTACGAACGACTCTTATTGGTAGTCAATGATATTGTGGTGGCAGTCGCCGGCAAAAACTACTTTTTTCTGAACAAACCACCCCAATTTCACAAGGAATGTGCCCGCTACTGTCGTGCCGCGGTAGCGACACGAGCCTTGATTTGGTGGTTGGGGGGCAAATCCTGGCACTCCCTCTGGTTCCTCTATCTGGCCGAAACACTCTGGAGTTTACCACCGCATCCGGCTGCCGCCATGTTTGTCACCAATCACGGATCACGCCCCAACAACAACAAAATTCGAGCATCACCCGATAATGCGTGCATTCCCTCGTCGAGTACGTATGCTGGCAAGTGGTATTCGTGCTTGACCCTCGGGACCAATTATCATTGCGAACATCACGATTTTCCAACCATTCCATTGCAACAGTTGGGGGCACTACGACAAATCGCACCCGAGTTTTATCGAGAAGGATCCAATGATCGTTTGTGGCCCATTATGGTACAAGCATTTGCTTATCCAGATTACTATGCCTGCATGAATGATATGGAGAGTATTCGGTAGTACGGCTGACTGAGTGCATGGTGGGAAGAAGAAAGTTGCTTTTGGTTACGGCCCGGATCGCCAAGAGAACAAACCCGTCAAGGCGATGCAGATTATTTGACAAACGCTTGTCTCTGGATGACTCGACTCGCGAGGCCTGGGTAAACACGGCACGCAATGCAACCAAGCCGAGAATTTGGACGATGATTGAATAACCCACACGAAATCCTTGCATTGCTTCGTTGTCGGCATCGTCTCCAGGGCAATCCTGCAACTGTGGTTCTTCCTTCACGCGCCAACCCCCTGGGAAAGTTAATTAAGAATCATCGCAGCTGCTATGGATGGAAAGGTTCCATGGAACTTATAGAACGTTTATCACTAATGTTTTGGTTTGGTTCACACCCACCAAAGTCTCACACGGTTGAAACTGTCTTTGGAATGTCTTCAGTTGCTTTGTCTCATACTCATGGGCTTTCCAGTGTTCCAGCTATGATAGTGCCCGTACTCTCAGCACTATCTGGTTAGTTGCTGCAGGCGAAGCAGATGGGTTCGGCTGGGTCTGCATCCAAGTTTGGACTGGCTGTTTCGATGCAGGCCGTTCCGGCAAACATAAAGTCAACTTCCGCGTCAGCATATACCTTTGGAGTCCAGTCGCACAAGTCTTGGTTGAAAGAGCTGGCCCGGAGAAACATGTTTCGGTCCTTTTCTGCATTACTCAGGTCCCAGTCCTTGATGTTGCCATTGTTGAAAGCGGCAGCGTCTCGAAACATGCCTTGGTATCTCGTATCAAGGGAAGTGCATTGTTGATTGGTTGGCTCTCAGAAAGGAAGCTTTAGCCTGTTGTTCTGATCCGCGAAGCCACCGTATCGAGTATGCTTGATTCTTTTTCAATGCATGGCTTTATCACCGAGAGGCACATGTCACGATATTCCGATGCGATGTGCGACATACTCCCCGAGTTGAGGCATCAGGTTTTGAAGACGTGGTATCGGTACCGCTAACGAACCCATCTTCTTGCTAGCACTACTAGCTATGCATAGTAGCCTATCTCTGATCTTAGAGATGCCCACGACAGTGATCCACGCTCTGCTGTAGCTTCAATACTTCCGTAGGCAATCGTCGGAGGAGGTATACCAGATCTGCTAGCTAGCTAGTCACCTTAAGTCCTCTTCTGAATAGCTTGCTTCTTGGGCAAATGTCCAGCACTCCAGTGGGCTCCCCTTTACAGTTGCCTCCGCGGCCTTTTCACCTAGAGGCGATGGATGCGTGCTGGGCAACACTCACAAGAGAAGCATTCGCTTTGATGCGCCCATAAGCAACAGCTCGGTCAAGAGTGAACGTAAGCAACACTAAGATCTTTCAAAGAGAGACCACAGAGCTGGTAGCAAGGCCAATAGCCAATGTGTCAACTGGCCACAGAGTGACCTTGATGCATGGCATTCCCATTGTGGTCGCCGCGCAGCAGCGTTCTGTTTTGGGGCAAATCACACTAGCTATCATAGAACTATCTACGTATAGCTTGTAGTGCAGACTGTTGGTTCAATAGTTGCTTTTACTAATTTGGATTATGTATCGCTCTCCTTGACTACAATCACCAAAGCCACCGCAAACTATCGCCATCATTTCACGTTCCGGAACCCAACACGAGCGAAAGAGACACCAACATCCATCGTCTGCCAACGCCACAGATCAGAATCGACAAGACAAACTCACAACTCTCGCAACCAATGTAGTGTGTTATCGTGTGCTCCTTTACTGCGGAGGTCGTGCAACGCGCCATGCCACGCCACGCCCCACCACCTCAACAGCAAGGATCCCAGGACAGTACAGTACGTCATTGATACATTGTGGCGGTCCTTACCCCAGGGTTCTTCTCCAATGTTCCAGCAGCGCAAGCACGGCTTCGAGCTCGTAGAGTTCCGCCATGTTGACGGAAAGACTCTCCGAGGTACGAGCATAGTCCTCAGCCAAAATGGGCTGGATTTCATCGAGGGCTTCATTGATGTCTTGTAGCCGAACCATAGACCGAGGATCACCTCCCCTCGCACGTTCCGCCAAGGCGCGAGAGAAGCTGATTTTCGGAACATAAGATACGGGGGTAGGTGGCAAAGAAAAGGGGATATGAAAGGGGGTATTCAAAGGCAAAGGCAAAGCAAAAGGGGAGGTGAATGGATGAGAGGGGGAGCTCGGTCTGAACAGCTCTAGGCCCTCATTGAGAGGCGACGTTGAAGGATCTGCAGCCAGTCTTTTCACAGCGTCCGGATCTCAAAGGGTTCTGAATCTTTAGCAGAAGCTCTTGCAGCTGGTTCCTTCGTCAACAGACACGCCAGATCCAGTCATTGCTCCTTCCAATGAAATGCCCCCCAAGGAAACTCCCTTCAACTCACCAACTCCAGAAAGCGTTTGCTGTAGCCTGCAGTAGCTGGTATTCTCATGTAGAAACCGGAACATTAGATATACCGGGGTAGTAGGCTCGACTACGAGATCAGCCAAGTGCGCTCGCCCGCAACATGTCAGCGACAAGAATAACAGCCGGAGAAGAAGGTCCCAATGATGACCGAACAGCCAATCCCCATGACCGGTGAATCCAAGCGACCAATGAAGAAGAGCGAGATCATATCGGCTGACCTACGGTACCGCTGTTCAAAGTGTCGATTGTCAAAACAATGAGATGATTCCCCCTAGACCTAGCTAGACTGATTTGGATGAACAAAACGAAGATACTTCAGATGCTACCGGCATCTTTGTCAGAGGAATCCAAGAGGTTTGCCAATACTCAGTGAATGTTTCGTCATGATATTAAAACAGATGCTGGTCACAAATTTCGATCCCAAAAGTCAAAGAGATAATGCCATGACAACGCACATGCATGACATGCATTGTTCTCGAGGATCTAGATGCGTCCTAAAAAAAATTAGAGATTCTAGACAATTGCATCCATGGGGTAAGCTCCTCGACCTCCGAAGGGACGAAGTCCAATGAGTGGCACCTGTAGGTAGTATACACATGCCACGGCGTACGTACCGGTACGCTTCGTCCTCCTTGCACTTGGATCCAACGAACCATGACTGAACCATGACTGAAACTTCAAGGCAAAGAATTATTGGCCCTTTCAGAAAACCTGAGCTTCGACAGCGATTGGACCGAAGCTGGATTTGGTTCCAGGTTCCAGGCACGCATACATGTACACAGTGATTTGCCACAACCACAGTATTCACAACGGGCCAGTTCGCAAACGTATACCCCCTTATTGCTTATGAATGTTGCAAATGAGCAAGTGATTGTCCGCCTAGATCTTGGCCATGAGTGACACCATTGGATGGACAGCTACTTGGGCGATTCTAAGCGAGGCCAGCAATTTGCGCCAACCTGTTGGCATTGACCTGGTAACAAGCCTACCCGGTTTGCTCAACATATCATGCAATCTATAAGATCGAGCCCGGCTTGCTGTAGTTACGATGCCTCATGCCATGTTAGCCGACGAGTGGGGAAGGAATCATCCCAGCTCCAGCCAACGGTGGCTGACAGTGGAATTCCACGGCCTGAAGTTCCTTTGCAGTGGTGTCTGATAGAGGCAAGGGGATAGTGATAGATTGTTCCTAGCTAGTGCATCTTGGCTTACAGGAAGCAGCGTGGGGTTTGTTATCAAGGCCAATTGGTGCATGCACTCGCTCCATGTGCATGCAGCCAGGCAAGCGATTTCAAAATGTGCTCCTTCAACCTAGCTAGAGCCAAAAACCAGCGGAGAGACCCCCAACAGGTGAATGAGATTGGATCAAATGGATCTGGCAGTGAAGACGTCGTAATGCGTCCAGTACAGCCGTGCGATCCTGGTGGCAAACTTGGGTTCATGACACAGAAGATTCTATCAGCAAGATTGCATGACAATTCTAATGCCCTCGCCCAGGCTTGTGGTGGCACATGGGGGCATGAGATCAATCAGAAGTGGTCCTTGCTTGGTTTGTCTTGGAGAGCTCTTGGGGACAGCCTGGGCGCTTGGCGGATTGAACGAACCGGTACCGTAGGCGGCATCGAACCATCGCTGACTGCGACTGGAGAGTCGCTGGGTTCTGCGGCTGGTATCAAAGTTACCTGGAGATGCGCCGTAGCACTGGACAAAGTAAAATGGTGTCTCTAGTTTCTAATGGTCCATAGGATTTAACCAACATACCTCAAGAAGCATTACTCGGTAGACGCTTTCTGCTCTTGGGGGCACAGTTGCTTAAAGGGGAGAACTCAGCATGCTGCTTTGCTGTGATAGTTTTCTCAAACCATGTTTCAGAGCTGAGACATGCTTCGAACGAAAGTGCACCACTACCTAGATCTACTTGTCCGATTGAATTGATTTCTGAATGTCTCGTGACGAGAGCTCACAAAAATCATCAGCCACAAACCAAAACGCAAAAATAAATATCAACAATCCTCACTCCACACAATAACACAACAACCATGTCATCTATTGTAAAGCAAAACATTTCCAGTGTTTACGCCATGTACTGCAACCCCAACGGAACCCGTCGACTCTCGAATACCTTTCAACCAGGCAAGTACGACGTCCTGTGCGCGCGGGGAAAGAAGGCACACAACTCGGAAGGCAACAAACGTTTCCGCACCTTGGTATCCATTCACGCAGAACGGTATGCTGCCTGCAGTTGCAAAATGGAAAAGAGCAGGATTGTCTCCCACATTGTTGACACTGTCCGACGGGCATCTCCCCACGGGGGCTTTGTCAAGCTCGTTGATGGTGTCTATTGGGAGGCAGGAGACAGGGCAGCCAAAGAAAAGGTTGGACAAACCTTTCGAGATATTCTGCACAACAAGTATTCTTCCAGTACCAAGGCTAAGGCACGAGCTCGCATGGAAAAGAAGATCCAGAACCATGAATTCAGCAATATGATTCTTCCACAGAACCTCATCAGCATAAGCGAGGGCGAGGACGAGGACACTCAAGGTTCAGATTCATCTACTTCTTCCTGTGGCGCTTCCTGTATGCACTACAGTCCTGAAACCGACTTCTCCAATTTGAGGGACACGTTTGAGGATGACGAAGCACTGACGCCTCTCTCCCGGGAAGCCTTGGAGTCTCTTCGCAGCAGCATTCACACCATTGTCGACCCAAGCATGAGTTCGAAGAGCTCCATGCGTTCTTCCTCCCAATCGTCACGAGACTCGATCATCAACTTGAGCTTGCTCGAGCCATTGGCTCGCTCTTTGAGCAGCAGTGCACACCGATCGTCCATGTCGCCCATTCCATTATTTCCGAAAGCGCGCCTCTCGACAATCACCACAATGAAACCACAAATGTCACTCCTAGATGCTACCATGATGGAACCACCATTGGAACAATCGAGTTCTCTGGATTTCACCATGGACTTGGAAGACAGTCCCATGGATGAAGACCTCAAGGACTTTTACGAATCCATGGGCATGGGCATCTGAACCCATGCAAAATATTGAGAAAATGTACATACACTCTTGACTCGCTTTTGACAATTGCCCCTATAAAAAGTAAATAAAAAACAACTAAACTCTAACCTGCAACTGGAAGACTTCTATAGCTTATATCATCGTGATTGCACTTGAAGGCAAGCAACTTTCTCTCTGCTAGCAGCAGTATATATCTATACACGATGCTTTTGGGGATTCATCATTCGGTCCGAGATCCCTTCTCGGATGAAGCGTATCTTGCTTGTACGTTGTCTGTTCAGCTGTTCAGAGATGCTTTTCGAAGTCTGAAATTTGGGGTGGGGTGTTGTTGGGCATCTAAATGGTTAGGCAGCTTGGACTGGCTTCTCCGAACCGCCAATCCGAGTTGCTGCCAATGACCGAAAGGGTTTTTTCCGATCTTGGATGTAGGCGCTGTTCGCTGTTACAGCCGAGGATCCAGCCTCCAGCATCCCTCATTGCACTGCTGTCCAGGACTTCGAGTCCATCCCCTCCCTCATATTCCACTCTTAGCACATACTAATTCCGTTCAAGTCGAACCACTTTGCCCAACAAGACACAAAAGGCGCAATTTATTCATCTGGACCATCGAATCAGCATTGCGGCAAGTCGAACCAGTTCGACAACCAGCGCAACCAACAGAATTGAATCTATCAGCATTGCGGCAAATTGAGATGGGTAAGAAGTCCAAGAAGGTGGGAAAACCACAGCGGTTCTGTTCTGGTTGCCAAAAGGCAGAAGAACCCAACGGTGTGCGGTTCAATCAGTGTCCTCGGTGCACTGAAGAAGGCTTCCTTCCAGCACTTTTCTGCTGTCAGAAGTGCTTCAAGAAGGCTTGGCCAGAACACAAAAAGTGGCACGAAGAAGAAGCAGAGAACACAAAGGCGGGTTATGTTGGTATCCTTGATAAACAGAAAACTAGACACGAACTTCTCCTCGAAAAAAAGGACTCTTATTTGAACCTCTTGTTTGAAACAGACCTGTGTGACATGAAAAGGGCCAAGAAAATCGTGCAACAAGCTCAGAAACGCTATTAACCACTTTAATCTTGACGGAAAAGGAGGCCATCATTGTGATGCTGACTTTGTGTGCAACATTCCACTGCGTTCTAACTCTTTAGAAGATCTTAGACTCTGACCCACTCCTAGCTAGCCAGTGAGGCACTCTGGGGTGGCTATGCATAGCTAAGCCAAGAAGAGCAAGTGCACGCCCAAGAAGGATCCAGTTTTAAATGATCTGCGGGCTTATTAGAGTCGGAATTCGGGACTTGACTCGCTGCGAGGCCGCAATTGAGGAGCCAGTGACTCGACTCGACTCGGTCGGGCTTTGAGAACGGAGCCTGTGGATGATGTACTACAACCCCCGTGTTCCGCCACATTGCTTTGTCAGCTGCTTTGTCGCATCTCTTGTCGCTCACCCTGGGAGACTTCCTGCAGCGGTACCGGTACTTGTCTGCCACAAGAAAGCCTGCTTGTCTTGAATGGTCAAAAGACATGATGTGGACACTACGAGCAAGTTGTGAGGAAGTGCACTAGCAAGAACTGCTAGTACAAGTGGAAGCTGGAGCTTTCTGTAGAGGAACGCTCTTCCTCCACCTGCAACTAAGTCGAAGATGGCCATGCGAGCTCTCATGACAGTGAGGCATAGCTTGCTAGCCAGCAAACAAAATTAACTGCTGGTGAAGGGCACACCAGTACCAGTACTTGCCAACTTGCCAAACAGCAAGTAGACCCTACGACCCTACCACATGTACTGTACAGTACAAGTAGAGCTATTAATAGCCAGCCAGCCCAGCTACCAGAAAGCGGCCGCATGCGCAGGCTGCATACATACACTCGTCACTCGACTCGACTCGACTCGACTCGACTCGACTCGACTCGACTCGACTCGACTCGACTCGACTCGACTCGACTCGACTGCTTTTGCCCCCGAGTGACTGGCGGAGCCACCAGTTCCACTGTCACATCAAGAGTCCGTCCAATAATGCTTGTGTGTAACTGAGAGACCTGCTCGAGCTTTGTCGGTCCTGTCTCATAAAGAACAGGCAGCCGGAGGCTGAAGCCCCCACCTGGATTTTAAGAAAATATCCAGCTATTACAGGGGCCTCAACGCCTCAACGCTTCACAAAGAAATCAATACATGTAGACATTCAAACGTAAAGAGATGGAAGAGACTAACTCATCTATGGAACAGGCTAAGAGTTTCCGTGATGGTAAGCGAGAGGCCGACAGACTCAGGAAGAGAGTAATACGTGCAAAACAGTCAAAAGAAGAGAAGGATGATATAAAGGCGGCCACTAGAGAAAGAGTTCAAAAGCTTCGAGAGAGACGTCGACAAGCAAACGATACCTCTGAGCTAAATGCAAACTGGAAAAGAATGAGAGAGAAGCATGAGCATGACACCAGACCGAACTAAGGAAGGCTGCCACAAGTAGAACAGTGAGAAACAGAAGACAACCCCTTTGTTCTAAGAAAGAAGCAGCAAAAAACAAAAATTGGAAGGAAACTGATATTAGCTTTAAAAAATGGATGGCATCCCAAGAAGATGAACTAGACTGACTTGCAGAAGATTATCGCAATCAAACAGGAGTTATGTTCAGAAGACATGCTCGAAAATATGATTATCGAAAGAAAAACAATACTCGTGGTACTATGGTAGATGACCATGGATTAAGAGCTTTTTTTGGCAGGGTTTCTTGCATAGCACAAACGACAAAGCAACAAGCACAACCACTTAATGAAAACAGACATTACTTGATGAGAAAAAAGCATTTGCAAAAATGGAAATGAAATACACCGAGTATTATCATAAATGGAAAGCTCAAGCTGATGCACAGGCCCCTAATTCGCCAAGAGCTGAACATCCTACTACCCAACAACAATGGCCATGAAACATAACTTCAAGCTTTCGCTAGATTGACAGAGAAGAAGATTTGGGTACCATTTCGCGATCCACACAGCAGCGCTGCAGCCACTGACGTGGAAAGTGAGGAGTCTTCTTTATTCGCTGAATGGAAAAGTCGGTACAATCAAAAGGCGACCAGCGGTCGGCATTCATACAAGACCTTCGAAAGAGACTGGAATACCGAAGTTTCACGACGCTTCAAGCTTTGGAGTCAAGGTGAAGATGGTATCATTCAGATAAGAAGAAAGAGCAGAATTCAGTTGGAGCGCTACTATGATCAACTGAAGGAATCAGAGTCACTTGAAGCCGTGGTTCCAAATGGAGATGAACACCGTGCTACCCTTGATGGCCAATTAAGGGAAAGTCGTCAGCGCCTAGACACAACTCCAGCCACTTTCAACACAAGGGCAAGAACATTCCATGGCAATGGAACAACCCCCTTTGCAGCACCAACAACTCTGAATGCTTATGTGACTGCTGGCGCTCTGAGAGTTGTCAGACAAAGCATGGACAAAGGCAGTGAAGTGTGTTGTGGGTGCTCACAGGCTGTTCCTTTTCAGGTGCCGGCTGTTCTCAGCAGAGCTACCAAAGGGCTCTCCAAACAAACATTTAGAAGAGCAGAATGGTTTGTTCTGTTTGTGGCCACAGAAAGAGGGACCATGCCAAAGAGGAAAAGCCAGGCAAGAACTGTATCAGGAACTGGTGTGGCAAATGCCATGAGAGAAAGGACTGTCATTCAGCTAGTGATGGTTTTGGCAAATCATGCAAGAAGCAGGCTAGTGCATCCAGCTGCTACAAAGAGTGGTGGGAAATCAGGATAGTAAGTGTTGCCTATTGTGTTACTTTGGATTGCTTCTGGATAACAAACAGCAACAAAGTCTGACAGTTGCTGCTTCCTTTCTTTTCAGACATGAGACATTTTCAGGGAATTGAGTATGCATACACTCCATTGTAAGCAGTGAGAGAAGCCCTGTGCATTATGTACTGCTGGCTACTGATAACCATTCCACTCAAGTTGTGTTTGTGCTTGCTCCAGCAATGAGTGTCAAACCAGTGACTCCACTCTGTAAGTAAGAACTCTTTGGCTTCCCACTCCCACACACCAAACTGATTATAGAGTGCATCTCTCATAAGTGGCCTAACTATGATTGCACAAAACTCTTTCTTTGTCATAGGATCCCCTTCCTCCACTACCAAAGCAAGCAGAGCAAGGACATCACTGTACCACTCAGAGCTCTGCCTCACTCCCCATCCAGTCATGGTCTCCAGAATCCAGGTCATATCAGGTGTCATGGGCACAGCTTTTCTTCCATTATGAGTTGCTCAATCATGACACTGGGAAGGTACTTTACCTTTAGCACAAAGTACTGACTGTACCTGTTTGCCCTGTCAGTTTCATCTACAAACAAAACATACTTGAGTGCATAGCTCTGCCTGGTCTTTCGAATCTCATTGAATGGGTAGCGACTATTAACATCTAGCCATTCTTTAAAAGCAACACTAGCTGTGTGGAACATGGTGATGTACTAGCTTTGCTGTAGTTGACTGTGTAGGAAGAAGAAATCCAATGACTCGACGACGTTTCGCGCAGCGAAGTTCCACGGAGATCCAAATTGTGAGGACGTTCGATGGAGGTAGTTGCACCTCTGCGAATAAGTCTTCGGTGGCTACCAAGACTGACGAGAGTTAGATGGCAAAATTTGAATTACTATCAACATTACTGTACGTCGACGAGTGACATAAGTCTTTGGTCTTGTATAAAAATTTCAGTATTTGGCGATAAAACTGCTGTGATCGACCGAATTCAGTACCTTGTCTCTTCTCAGTAAAAAGAATGTGATACCCACAATGTCCTATCTACACATTCTTTCATAGTAAAACACTTGATTGATGACTCCATCGAATTTTCTTGGGTCCTACGAACTCTCAAGCGCCGCGCTTCTGTGACTGACGGTAGACAATGCATTTACATGTACTGGTAGTTCTAAAGGACCAAGAGCTGGACCAAGCATAGTTAGACGCTACGAGTACCCGGTAACCCGGGTTGTATTCGCCCAGTTTCATAGGGCGGATACCTTTTACGGTATTTTTAAAATATGGCATACCTTGAATGCTGGATCTCTGAAGCTCTTCATTCGTATGGTTCAGTATGGTGGTGCCGTACAGTACGGTGTGGTGGGGTGGGCAGGTTCAAAAATTGTCAACGAAAATTCTCTGTAAAAGACTGATAATACAGAAGTAATACTTTTGCAACACTAAAAGAGTTCGGGGGAAGTGTTCAGGAGAAGTGTTCTGGAGCAGTGTTTGAGAGAAGTGACACCAAATTTGCAGAGGAATGGGATTCTCAGCTTGCCTTTGAAATAGGCCGTGCACAACACACTCACATCCGATGAAGGAATGTAGCCGGCAGCCAGAGATGAAAGAGAAAGAAATTTTGAATGGACTCTTCAGTCTAAGCAACTGATACCGGTATGTGATACGTACTGTGCCGGTGGCTCGCTCCACAACGCTGCTCGCAGGGACGCACGAATCTTAAAAGCTAAAGATATCGGCTAATAAGGGAGAGCAACAGGTGCTTGATCGTTATAGCTTGGTCAACACTTCGCTCATCAGAAAGCATGATTTTCATCATAAAGACGCCTAGATAGAAAGCCCCTGCCTCAATCAGGTCCGAGTCTCCAGTAGCCATCACATCATATGCTCAGTGGTCCTTCGGGGCAAGCAAGTACCTGGGTGGCAAAGATTATGCACCTCTACTGCAGCACCGGTGCCGTACGGACCTCGGGGGCAACAACTTTGAACCCCCAGGGTGCGCACATCGGGTGGTAAAGATTCGATTCTGCACCTCTATCCTGCTGGTCTGTCAAGTACGACACGCGAAGAACTCAAATCAAGTGCTTACGGTACCGGCACTACGACACACGCTAATATGTAACAGTTTCGTCTACCACGGTCGAGCTACTTCGGTACTACCGGTATTTTCAGCTTACGGTACGCTACCATGCTGTTTCGTAAAGATAGGTAGACTGGCGACCAGAGACGCATCCCCGCATGTAAAAGACTGAGCCGATTGCTCTCGGTAGAACCTGGTGCGGTTGGGGTCGAGACGATGGCTTTGCTTCGCTTGAACCTGGTGCGGTTGGATTTGCTGAGACGATTGCGATGAGCACAACGAGGAATGGCGAAAGCATCATTACAGTCCGAAGCGAAAGGACTGCCAACATCACAAACGAATGATTGAATGGAATTGTTCTTCGTAGTGCTGCCGAACAGTACCGTGTGGTGGATGCGTTTTGGCAGAACGAGCTGGTTTTCAGTCCTCGTTGAGAGCGCTCGATCACAGATGAGTCGAATGAATCGATTCGATTCATGCCTGTCGGCTTGGATCTTTTGCAAGACCGGCCTTTCCCAGCAACAAAACTGGCTCACAAAATTCAACTCGAAAACAACCAAACCAAACTAAAAAACACAATCTTTTCTCACAATGTTCATTGACACTACAAGCTGCCCTGGATTCACCATCCGTGTCCTCAACACGTCCCTTCTTGCCGAGACAACAACAACAACAACAAGACACCCAGTCACCACCATCGCGATCATCTTATTTCCATGGTAGCCACAAGCTTTGCCGAAGGAGAACCCTGTTGCAAATTTCTAGGTATTACAGCAGAGTTGCTCCAGGAACACTTGGTGAAAGCCCTGGTGGATAAGACAATTGAGGAGGAATTTTTTTTTTTTTTTTTAAAAAAAATCTTTTTTTTTCTTTTTTTACACGTTTTTTAAAATTTTTTTTTTTTTTTTTTTTTTTTTTTAAACTCAAAAAAAAAAATCTTTGGTCTGTATTGATAATGAAACTGGCAGCATTGTGGCAACGATGCTCAATGAAGATTTTTATGATACCATGAACCCTGATGAGGAAGCTTGTGAGGCTCTTGCCAGGGACCTTCCGGAAGCTATTCCAATTTTTGCCCTTTTGGAGCACTTGGAAACTCGTCTTGTGGAAAGAAGATTTGGTAGTACTACTGGAGGAGTGATGAAGCAACGGGAGGTTCTTCATGCTTTCATGGGAGCCACTTGCAAGGAATATTCTGGAAGAGGACTTGCCAGTTGTCTTCGCAAGCTGACAGCTGAGTATGCAAGGGAGGCGGGCTTTGCCCATGTGGTTGTGGAGCCAACCAATCCAGCAACTCAGCACATTTGGACCAACAAAATGGGTGGCACTGTGGAGTGCCGTTTGGAAGCCAAGGATTTCATCATGCCAGATGGCAGCAAGCCATTTGTGAGCGACACAGGAAGCTCTATGGAAAAGGATGCCATTATTGTGATGCTGACTTTGTAATAATAATCAACACTCTTTAGACTCGGCTCTGACTTTGGCCTAACACCGGCTACTCATGGCTTCTTTATTAGGGCCCGAGGATGCTTACCGTATCATTAAATCCATCATCTAAAGACAGTTACTCAAAGGTTTAGTGTCTTCTCTCTCTGTGAAGGACTGAGTCACGGGGACGTTGGCTGTGCATTTTTCTGGACGATTTTGGCGGCACCGTCTTCTTTGGCTCCTGATTATTTTGATTTGACTTGATTGTTTGATGGTTGCTTGCTTGGTGCAGTCAGCCGTCATTCTTGCACAGATAGTTGGTGGATCATTGTTGCACAGCTAGCTAGATCATTGTTGCCGGATTGCGTTAGAGTACTGTACGGTACGGTAATAGTTGGATGAGTAAGGAGACAGAGAGCGAGGTGCATTGCAAGAGCCTCCATGTAGGTGATTTTCCCAGTGTTTCTTCTGAAGCTGTCACTCCCATTAGCACTTCCACCAGCAACGACGAGTCTTGCACAAGTAGTAGTATTGGCAACGGCAACGGCAACGACAACGACAACAGCGAGAGTAACCGAATGGACAACGGCGACAAAAATAAGATGTCTGACAAAAACAAGATGACGTCTGACAAAGACAATATGGATGATGACGATACTGGCAAGAAGACGAACCGTACAATGTCGTGACGACGATGATGACGAAAAGAGGAGGAGGAGACGAAGAAATGGAAATGGAAGAAGTGTTTGATGAAACGGAACGAGACGAGGAGGACTGGATGACAGAATCAGCTCCTGCTCGAATGAGTCTCAACAAAAATGGCGTCAGCGAATTCACAAGAGAGAGATTCCAAGAGCCAAATGAGGAGGCAGTTGTAGACACGCAACAGCCAAAAAGAAAAAGGACCCGAAAGAACGGAAACCACCGCAGTAGAAAGGGCTGACAATACAAACAAACCACAAGCTCTTCCACCATCAAAGGAACCACCAAGAAGAAAGAGGAGATGATGAGGAGGAAGAAGAGGAAATTGTAGAAGAAGAAGAAGCGGTTGAAGAAGAGCAAAAATCCAACGACAATGGTCCCATGTCCATTTCCGAGCGTCGTGCTCAGAGACTGCAAAATCGACAGCGAAAAATGAGACCAAGTCCTCCACCAAGACGACGTGGAGCCTCTCCTTCCCCGACGCCACCACTACGATCAGTTGGGACCGCACCGGCAGCCACAGTCAGCAGTACCAACCGCCGAACTGCCATTATGAACATGCCACATCCAGACATTTCCAGTCGCAGTCTAAACCCCCAAAATTCCAACCGAACCTTAGACAACAATAATACTGCAGAAAACAACAATTCAAATACAAATACCAATTCAGATCAACAAATCGCACAATTGAATGCACAGCTCATCCAGCACCAAGAACAGACCATACATGCCCTGCAAGAACTATCGCAAACCATCAAACACCTCATGGTCACACAAATCAAACGAGACAAGGACTCCGAAGATGACACCAAAGACATGCTCAATGTCGATCGAGCCACTGTACGATTGGATGGACTCGAAGTCTATGCCGTTGTTAGTGCCCTCACCGTAGCCACCGCCATTGCCTGCTTTGATAGCTACGGAACCGATCTTACCACCATTTTCACACCATCGCAACTCAATCGACACAATGCACTTCCCCTCTTTTTGAATACCGTCTTTTTGGCCGTATCGGGAATTGGGATCATTGCCGGATTGCATGCCACACTGGTGTTTTCACTCATGACCATGTACGGACGAACCGCCGTCGGTGTCAGTCACGACGAAGCGTTTGTGGAATTCTTTGTGCAAACGGGACGCGTCCGATATCGAGGATTTCACACGTTCCGCATGTCCCTTTACTGTTTCTTGATTCAAGTCCTCTTTACCATTACGTCCAAGTCATCGCCCATTCTACGACCGTTCGTCATCATCGTCAATCTCGCCTGCATCTATTGGGTCTACGTCGATACGCAATCGGTCATTGATAAAGCCGGTGATATCTTGTTCAACTTTAATGCACAACAACAACGACGAACATCCGATGCCGGGAATCTGTCACTCCAGCGAACCTTATCGGACATGTCCGGCAATGCCGGTGCGAATAGATCGCCGTCACGGCAGCAGCACAATGAGAGTAGCGGGGAATCCGATTTGGATGTTTCCACCAGCAGAAACATCACCAACAAAAAGAACAGCAACCCGTGCCAAAAGCCAGTGGCGGTGGTGCCAGTACATTGCAAAATATGCGACAACGAGCTCGAGCCCGGCCGTCGGCCAAAGCCGCCGCCACGGTCAATGGCCGGTACAGTCGCAAAAAGGGTGTTGCAAGGTCCAAATCGGGTGTTTTGGTCTACGACGTCGGACCCAGAGATGCTAGACCGGTACGACGTGGAGGAAGACGACCCAGTCGGAATAACTAGACTAACTATTGAAGAGTAGTGGACGATAATATGCGGTCGTACCGCATCGATTGCGTGTTTCTCTTCTACTTTACACAGTCCTATAAGCAAATAAATGACTAAATAGGTCTCTTTTTTTACAAAAAACTATACATACCCAACAACACTATGCAACGAGGATTTCTTATTGGTATTGGTACCACCCGCAGTTGCTGACAGAAAGGTTACCGTGCGCCCTCCGTCCAAACATCTAATGTCAGGCCACAAACGTACCGAACCAGTTGTGTGCAGTGGATACCATTGCTTGGAAGCAGTACCATGGTACCGGGAAGGCACAGACGGATGGGTACGCTTGCACCTGCCGGTGCAGCGGACAAACATGTACCGGTATGATCAATGGATGCCTTTGGGAGGGAGTGTCTGAAATGCACCAGAACACCATATCTAAGACAACAGTCCCTTTGGCTTTTAAAGAATAGCTACATAGAGGCAGCTGATGAAGCTTCCGGGGCTATTGTATCCACCATACCGGTAGGCACCAAACCTGAAAGATATCAGGTCTAATTTGGATAGAGGCTGTCTCAATATTAGAAAACTGGCAGTGGGGGGCCTTGATCCTGATATGGATCTCCAATCCAGTTCCGAGTTCAAACTTGGATTAGACGGCTGATGAAGACCAACTCACACTCTCCATGGAAATCATACATTTCTCCTCCAAAGGTCATGAAGTGAGGGTCACCAGTGCACTTCATCACCACAACGGGTGAGAATCACAGTCCATGGAGTCAGTGTACCATCACTAACAGCGGGAGCAGGGTCAGGGGAGGGGGGCAACACATGAGAATCACAGTCCATTGGTGGAGGATAATACTGCCATCATTGTGAAGACGACACCACAGATAAATGACAAAGTCATCATCAACCTGATTGAACCATTCTCTATACTAAGGTGTGATGTACTGAACTACTGCACAACCGCATTCTCCTCACTGCAAAACGACGCAGGAAACAATGGCTTCAATCCCAAGCTACTGTCAAGCCACGGATCATTCCGAAATGGACACAAGTCTCAAACTTCTTCTCCGGCTGCTCCAAAAAGTGTTGGCTCCAGCTCCAGCGAATTGTTGCCAGGAGCATGTTCCTGGAGCAGCGGGCCCAGTGCCGAACTAAGTTCGCCCGATGTTTCAGCCAGAGCAGTCATGCCGCGATCCGACAATATCGGAAAGTAACCCGACTTTGTTGATTCCTTTACAGACATCGTCAGGCGCTTGCCTCTAACGCCTTCATTCACCCAATAGGTATGCATTTCTCCCTTTCCCCTGCATCAAATAAATAGAACAGCAAATCAACACAGGTGTAAAGATCAGACCTTCTCCGGAATGGAATCCAACCCCAGAAAAGCCAACCACAAAACAGCAAACTTACTTGATCTTCACTTTGCCTCTAGATTTCATCGGTAAATCTTTATACTGTGTTTGAAGAAGCTTTGCCGCTGCGCGCGAGCAATGAATGCGGTTCTCCTCGGAGTTGGACTCCATGCGGGATGCTGTCCACAAACAAAACAAGACTACGTGAGATCGAGACACTCCCCAGGCAGCAAAACAAAACATTACCCTCGGTTGGCTGACTGACCCGTGTTCACAGTGTCCCCAAACAGGCAGTATCTGAGAGCAAGAAAGCATCATTAGCTAATTGGGAGCAGCAGCAACACAGGATGGGAAGAGGAACAGAACAAGCTTTTACCTTGGATTGCGAGTCCCCACGACGTCAGCCACCACAGGTCCAGAATGGAAACCTTGAAACAGAAGAAGACAAAACCAACTGTGAGGATGCGAGACTCTCCTCCGAGGTTTCAAATCTTCTCAAAATTGCTTACCAACTCTAATGTTCACACAGCCCTTCCTCTTCATCGTCTTCGTCGATCAAGGTGTCGTTTGCTGCTTCAATGGCTTCTATCGCAAAGTCGGCGATGCGCTTACAATGATCCTCATCTTGGTCCTTGACCAGGTTAGTAACGGCCATGTATGCTACAAGAAAAAGTGAAATGAGTGAGGCAATGATGCAAAGGATACAAGCTACACTGGTATCTACTTGAGCTGCCTCACCATCCCCGATTGTCTCCACCTATGCACAGCAGACAAAAAGCAACGTCAGATGGGATTCTAGGTGGTCTGCTTGCCTGGCTTGTGCGAGGATGGAGAATACGCACCTTGAAAATGTCATGTTGCTGAGACAATGCATCAAACTTGGTGTACTATTGATAGCAACACCACAGCCAGCAGGAGAGTGTAGCGAAAGTCAGTCTTCTGAAATGACCTGGGGGAGCGCACCATCGAGCTGTACAACCAGCCACCACGAAGTCGAAAACTTGTCACGTACCAATCGGTCTAGCATTCTGGCCACCTTCCTCGGCTCAAGCTCAGAGGAAATGGTGGTGAACCCTTTTTCGTACGGAAACCGTAGAGTTTCGACGAGGTTAGCATTTCAGAGAGATTGCACACATGCATGTCGGCACATTGTTGCACGTACCTACGATATCTGTTTAGGGAACCAGAGTATTATCGCAAGAAATCACTTGTGAGTCACGAACTTCAGCAGGAAAGTGAAGATAGAATTCCCTGGCAGTTCCACGTACCACTGAAGAATATCGTTACAGAGTCTTTGTGCTCTGCTTCGACCGTACGCCCATCGCGCAAAGCCTCGGCTATGTGCCTCGGAAAGATGTCAAACAAGCTGACTTGCCCCATTTTGCTGCTGTTTTGGTCGCCGTCCAATGTCTCGGCATCGAGGCGTTTCAAGCGAGTGTCCACTTCTTCGCAAGTGGGGCGCTTCTCTGGGTCATCATCAAGACAATCCTTCATTAGCCCCTTGATGGATTCTGGCATGTGTAGAGGAGCTGGCGGCCTCTTTCTAACAGCTTTGTCTGCAACCAATTTCAACACTTGCTCTGCGTCTTCCCCATCGTAGGGATCACGCCGAGAGAAGACTTCGTACAACAGACAAAAACTAAGTTTAAGGATGGAAAACTTCAGCAGGCCAAGGTGCCTCCCTTCAACTTACCTTCATTAAAGTAATATCCCAAAATGTAGACATCAAGAAAGCAACGTGTGGCACTCTCCCCCTCAACAATTCCTGCTCGACCATCAATGAATCAGTAGAATAAGAACAGCTGTAGAGAAGCTTTTCACATGATCACTTGTGAATAATACCACTTACTGGGGCCATCCAAAAAGGCGTCCCGGTTCCACCGAGATTTTCCTTCTGACTGAGACCGAAATCTGCAACCTTGCCCCTGTAACGGCTGTCCACGAGGATCTGATGGAAGATGTGTCAATAACAGCAGAGAGTTGAGGCATCCAACAGGACTCTACAGTGGAAAACTACTCAAACGTCAACTCACATTGGCAGCCTTGAGACGGAAGTATAAACACAAATGCAAAGAGGGAAATTTATGTCAGTGGGCACTTTTCGGTGGAAATAACTGGCATCCAGCGGATTGTGGGACTTCCGTACCTTCAAATCACCGTGTATCACCGGCGGGTTAGAGGCGTGAAGAAACCTCATTCCCTGAAGAAAGATTGAGAGGGAGCGACAATGTCAGCAGAACCCAGCTGCAGCCGTGCGCACAAGCATCCAAAACTCAGTTTACATGACGTATCTCACCTGAGTGATATCCCGTAAAAGTGGCATGAGCAGCTCGCCCTCAAGCGCTAGTGTCTCGTTGTGCAGTAGGTCATACAGTGATCCGTGATCCATGTACTAGTAGACACAGACAGAAGGACAAAACAGGCAGCATACATAAGCACTACATTGGTCGGATTCACCTGGCTAGTGGAGTCCAACACAAGCTTACCTCCATAACGAGCATTGGTTCTCCCTTTGTGACTGCGCCCATGACTGCCAGAGAGAATGTTGTTGAGAGAAACGCCAAGACGGCACCCATGAGGAGTCTATTGATTTGTCTACTCACCAGTGGTAATGCATGGGTGCCTCAGCTAAGCAGAAGGTTAGAAATGTGTGTTGAGTCCGGCTTGTAAAATGATACACAAGCAGTCAACAGCAAAATAATATATTCCATGGTACTTGAACCCTTGCTTACTAACCTTTGACAGGTACCTCATTTCCTCCATGAACTCTGCCTTCATCTGTTTCCATTGAGCAGCCTCGCTTTGCTGGAACCCAAAGGAACCCTTGCGAGCTTTTCCATTTGCTGGCATCCTGCTACCCAACATGGACATTCCGGACCACGACGACATTCTGGTCCTGTTGCTGTTGACCCCAGACACCATTCCCACACCTGATTTGGATCCCTTAATCGACCGCATACCCGGGCCATGTGTACTTTCACTGCCTCCTGTAAATTCCTCCTTGGATTGAGGTGGGATGACACGTTTCACCGCCACGGCAGTCCCTCGGTACTCCCCCAACAACACCAACCCAAACGTCCCTCTTCCAATAATTTGGGGAGGATCGTCAAATATGATGTCCTTCTTATCAACCTCCCAGACGGAATCATTGTTTTTGCGTTTGTTTTCATAAAACAAAAAGACGACGACGCCCAACACGGCCAAGACCACCAATGGAACGACGACTACCAACGCTATGCTGGTTCCCCCCGTTTCGAGTTTCGGCGGCGGTGGCAACTCGGGCGGGATGTTGGATGTCCCATCGTTGAACAAGTATTCTGCCCGTTGTTCCCACACCCCACCTTGAAACAAGTGTGTGTTGACGGGTACAAATCGCACCACTTCTTCTCCGTCTCGGGATCGGTCTCGAATTGTTCTTGATAATTGTTCACCTTGTAGAGTGCCGATGCCGGATCTCGTGTCCCCGTGGCAGGATCAAACACAACGGGTCCTGAGATTCCAGTAAAGCTTAGATTCTTGAAGGCATCAAAATGTTGCTGTCCGGTGAATGCCAACGTCCCAATTTGTTCTGCTGCTTGACAGGCGGCCAAGCCCAATCCCACCACAGCTTCGTACGTGAAGGGTGCAAATATGCTGGTGACATCCTTGAGATATGATTCGTGCTGGCCCGTGACATACGTGTGGGCATCGTACGTGGGCCAATCGTCATGTGGGGGAAAGAGTGCCCCAATGGTTTGCAAATCGGCCGGATTGTCCATTTCGGTCACATGTTGGACAAAGCTATCATACTTGGGCATCCCCGGGAAGCCTCCCACGATTTCCACCATTCCCGATCCCCTATAACTCTTGTGGAGTGGTCCATCTTTGACAAACGAGCGTCCATCGAGGACACCCAAAAAGGAATCTGCATAGATCCAAACGTGCTGTCCATCTCCGGCGACACCTGTTTGGTATGCCTCGGTCATAATGGCATCATGTGTTTCCGCCGTAAAGACAATCATAAAAATGTATCGGTATTCTATGGCTTTGACCGAAGCGACGGCAGCTGAAATGGCGGCTTGTCCTTCGTCGAGTGGAACTTGATGAATTTTGAGCTGCGGGGCGTGAATGGCTGCGGCATGGCGCATTCCTTCCACGTAGGCATTCCCGAAGGCATCGTTGACGTTAATGATGGCCACATGTTGCAAACCCAACACAGTGTGCATGTAAATGATGGTAGGAATGGCGTTTCCGGTATCACTGGGAATGGTTCTTCCAAAGAGAGGATATTGTGAGGCATCGTCGAGACTGGCACTGGTACTGGCCGCACTGACTTGTGGCACTTGAAACAATCCCGTGGCGATCGCCATGGGCATGGAAACGGCAGATCTGTAGGCTCCCAAAAAGGCACAGGGTGGTTGTGTTTGTTTGTTGGCTTGCTCCACGACGTGTCCTAAGGCAACGCCGCCTTGAAATTCCGTATCGAGCCATTCTGTGGTGAAGCGGACATTGCAACTCTCATTGAGACCCTGTATCTCAGGGACGAGAATGCCATTGCCGGAATTCAAATCTTGAATGGCAAGTGCAATGACGGCGGCATCTTCGAGGGCAATGTGGAACGGTTTTTGGTCTCCAGTGGTAAACGGAATGATGGCCGTGAGATGACAAAAGGCAATCTCGTCTGTATTGTCGTCTGGTGGGAGTGGTACTTCAAAGAGTTCTACGTTGGAATTGTCGTCTTCTGGGGGGATAAAGTCATTGGGGAAGTCTTGACGGAGTTGATCGTACTGACGAATCGAATGCAAAATACCTTCTCCCGGTGGATCTGTACTATTACTTGTACCGGTAGCAGAGATATCTGAAGCAATCTCTTGTTCTTCCTGTTGATTCCATTGGAAATGGAACTTCCCAATAAGTATTCGAGTTGTCATGGGTACCGTTGGTGGAATCTACCAAAGCAGGACTGGTAGTGACGGGACTATGAGGAATGTTCCAATATGCATTGCCATTGGTAGTGCCAGTACTAGTACTCGTAGTATCAGAAGTCGTCTCGCTTTGCGTTGGCTTGTCTTGCTGTTCTTGTTCTTCAATAATCACAAACGTCGTTTGCTTGGTTTCTTTCGCCATGGCTCGATGCGTACCGTACTACCTCCGACAAGAGTGACTCTCTTCCTTCGTTCTGTACAAAGACGGTCTCTTCTCCGGGAGCTACAATGGCAAGGTTCCGGTAGGCGTACCGGTATACCCAAGAAGATAATGGATAAGGCAGCCAAACAGAGAGCTGATGAGAGCTGGCTAGCAACCTACAAGAGAAGAAGACGTGGTCTAATTTTCAAATGAATAATGCCACAGGAATTTTGTTGGTTACTTCTTTACCGGTGGCTACATCGTACAACTGTAGGAGATGATGTGGGGTCTTTTTTGCGCCTACTAATACTTCCCAAAATAAGTGGTCCCACGGTCCCACCGGCATACCGTAGTTGCGTTCTCATGGTGGTCTGGATTGACGCAAATAATGTCCAATCCACACATTCATTGATGGTTGATGACTGCACGTACTGACGTATGCTCGTAATGGGTGCAGCGTTTGCTGTGACTCTCTACAGCCGATGACATAAGAAACAGGACCAAGCGCCATTTACAGATTTACAGTGGTTCAAAGACCAGGTAGGGTTCTGTACCGTACCTGGTAGCCACCTGCACACATCGATGTTCTCTTCGCATCTGTTCATGGTGTAATAAAGACATCTCGGCGGATTCATCTCGGAGTGGAGTAATCTCGGCCCGTTCTCAGCTTTTACAAATCGATTCGATTCATTCGACATTCTTTGGTTTCTTTGAGCTCTTCTTGTTACTGTACAGCGTACGTACCACTAGGGTTCTCTAGTTAACTAGCTAGCTAGTAGTCTACTAGCTTGCTAGACTAACTTGCACAACTCTTTCTTTGTTGGGTGCAGCGTTTGCTGTGACTCGACTCTTTAGAGCAAATGATTGCCCCCACCAGACTGGGGGTTCTTCCAACTTTTATCGGCAGGTGTGTGTGTGTGCTAGTTAGTGTGTACGTCTCTTTGTGTGCTGGTTAGTGTGTACGTCCGTCACATAAGGGGAAGTTTCCCTTGTATGGAGCTGTGTTTAGTTTGACACAGTTAGGTAAAATTGAGAGACTGTGTTCAGTTGGACACAGTAGCTTTAAACAGTGTTCAGTTAAACACAATAGCAAAAATCGAGAGACTGTGTCCAACTGAACACAGTAGCTTGAAACCAGAAATGAGATTGAGATATAAGCCAACAAAACTAAGCAGCTGTGTTTTGTTGGACACAGTATCAGCTGCAGCATGGAAGCTAGTTAGAAATTAGATGTAAGCTAACAATGAAATTGATTTGATATTTATCTCCGAACTAATAGAAAGCTATTTTCTCAGCTGTATTGATGCTGCCAGTGTTCTTGTTCTGCCCTAGATGCGTGTGGTGCTGGTGGTAACTGGAACAACAGCTCTGAGTCTGAATTTGAGTGGAAATAATAATGAGCTACCCGACTAGAAAGATCAGCCCAATACTTAAACCAATCAATTTGCTTTTGAGCTTCACTGCGATCATATGAGCTTAAAGAAAGTGATCTTTGAAGATGTTTTT